GGTGATGAAAGTAATGATGACTGGATGTGGTTCCTCTCCGAGCTGTATAATTTGCTTGAAGCTAACACAGTGAACATGCCAAAGCTTACAATTCTATCAGATAGACAGAAAAGTATCGTAGATGGAATAGCAGTACACTTCCCAAGTGCTTTTCATGGGTTCTGCATTCGCCATCTCATTGATAATTTCAGCAAGGAGTTCAATGATACCATGCTAGTCAACCTTCTTTGGGAAGCTGCTTGTGCTCACACTACAATTGAGTTTGAACAGAAAATCACGCTGATTGAAGAAATGTCAGAGGGAGCAGCTTGTTGGATAAGAAGTATTGACCCTCGCTTGTGGGCTACAGCATATTTTGAGGGAAAAAGACTTGTACATCTAACAACTAATGTAGTTGAATCATTAGGTATAATGGAAGCATCTGGACTTCCGATAATTCAAATGGTGGAGTATATCCGTCGACAGCTGATGACATGGTTCAATGAGCGTCGCGAGACTAGCTTGCTGTGGACAAGCATACTTGTTCCTTCTGCTGAAAAGCAAGTGTCTCTGGCTATTGAGCAGGCACACACTCTTCAGGTTCTCAAAGTAGATGATGCTGAATTTGAAGTTATTTCCAATGAAGGTTCTCGTATAGTAAATATCCATAGCCGCCACTGTTCGTGCTGCAGATGGCAGCTATGTGGGCTGCCCTGTGCTCACGCTGGGGCAGCTCTCCTCTCCTGCAGGCAGAATGTTTATCGGTTTGCTGAAAGCTCTTTCACTGTTGCAAACTATCGCAAGGCATACTCACAAACCATACACCCAATACCAGATAAAGCCCTGTGGAGAGAACCATCAGCAGGATCAGAGAATGGAGGCTCCAATTGTCTTGAACTCATTATAAAACCTCCAAAGCGTGTTCAACCACCAGCAGCTAAACCAAGGAAAAAACGAGTGCGCACAGAAGATGGCGGGCGCATGAAACGGACTGTGCATTGCAGCCGCTGCCATCAGACTGGACATTTTAGAACAACATGTTCTGTTCCTGTATAGATACTGGTATCGATCCTACATACTGTGCAGAAAGTTTGCGAATTTTTTTGTTAGTCTACATAGAACTTGACGATGAAGTTGCTTCTAGAGCCCAGATTTACTCCTATTTATAGTGTTGGACAAAAAAGAACGTGACATGGGCGATATTGTGGAATATTCACTATTTTCGCAGGTTTATCGATCAGCTTTTTGAATTGCTCATCTTTGATTCCCACGTAACACAAGCTACTTACTCTTCCTTAGGATCTCTATGTTAGACGATGAAAGTTCTTAGTTCGCAAGGATGCTACATAATACTATGTGGCTGGATAGCTGATCATCCATTTTTAACAACCAGAGAAGTAACTGGTCATGCAATTGTAACTTAAATCAATAGTGTTTTTTTCTTTTTCTTTTTTTTTCGGATCGAGGAGGCAAGCTTCTTTTTTTTTCAATTTAGTGGGCTTAAGCTTGGACTTTAGGTCTTTTCAGGTTAGTCTAGTTTTTGGTCCAGATAAGTTTCTGGGTGGAGCCCAAGCATGAGCATTACGAAAATTTGGATTATATTTTGCTTTATTACATTTTTCTATCATTCGTCATTCATGCCCCATTTGTTTAGTTCTCTAATCATTTGTTTCGAACTTTAAAAAATTATGGTAAAAAACTTCTTAATGTTTTAAACTGTACTTCTATCTTAGTTGATAGAGGAGATCTCAGTTTGAGTACGTAAAAAATCATACCTTCACCAACCAATTGGACGGGATGGGATGGAATTTGCAATTCAACCCATTAGATTTTTTTGGGCCCCTAATGTAATCCAAGAAAAATAAAGTACAATATCGCTAAACATTTCTAGTCATTGCATTCATTTTGTAATAATTTTCCTTTTACTCTTGCATAAACTTTTTTTTTCTTGGTTTGAGAATTGAGAGTTACATATCTTACATTTCATCCTTTTTCTAGGTATTTTTTTTTTTCCCTCATCAAATAGAGAATTGAGATCCGCCTTAATAAATTTACGGCAATAAAATTTATGTTTTGTTTTACCTGGAAAAATAAAGTGTGAATGCACATGCATTAAGAACAATGCAGACATCTTTGAACCCTCCTGGCCAACTTGTAGAAACTACACACTATTTCATAATTAGGAGTCATAGCTTAGTATAGATTGAGAAACATCAAAGTCAAATAAATCAACCTACTTGTTTGCAGCTGCAGGCATAACTGTAGTAATTATTACATTTATTCTTTTCCTATTTTTCCTATGGATCTAATTATTATATCAAAACTTACAACCTAAGACTTCACCCCAAATAGAAAACATGCATTACAATGATGCTGACAAATCTCGACTAATAAACTGCCTGTCTCTCGGTTTGAGACTAAATATTAAAGCAAAATGCTCAAAGTCTAACACAAGATTACTTTGATGTTGTTAAATATGTGTGAATGTGTTAGATTGTTTTCATATTAGTTATCCAATAAATATGGCATGAACAAGAAAAGCTGCTGCTTGCCGCTGGGCAAATTGGAAAATGGAAGCAACTTCAGTACTTAATTCAAATAACTAGTATATCTCATCAGTAAGGTGATATGGCCATACTTTACAGAACTCAATGCTTTGAATTCGCTAACTACATTTTGTTGACAAAACGGATGGAGTAATAGTTGCTAAAGTTGAATTTTCTATCCGCGTTGAAGCTTTAACAAAACAGAGAGAGCTGTTTTGTCTTGTGAATTGGGCTTTCTAAAGAAACAAGAAGAAGAAGACCTGGCCTTTTGTGTTGTCTTGGGCTACTTTGTTTGCTGTCTGTACTTTATACTCCACTCTTTATTGGAGATGGTTTATTCCCTATTTCTCATAGATCTATTAAAATACGGAGATCGTGGCTTGACAGTATATCAACAGCAAAATCATGACCCTAGTGAAATTATTTCCCAGTTGAAACAATGCACTCTAAACTGCATTTTTGCACCAACTGGCTGTTTTAAGCTAAAGTGACACTCAATTATTCGAGATCTTTGTAAGTTGTAAGCAACAATCAATCTATCTGGGAAGAGGGACCTACTGATTACTTCTGGGGAATTATTTCTTAATAATTATTGCTGGTCTAAGCATGAGACAACCAACCAATTACTAAAAGGGAGAGACCCACTCTGGTTTCAACAGGCAGAATTGTAGAAATGTTCTCAATTATGAACCCTCCCTGCCCAAGAATTATATGACACCGTACTTTTTGAGATCATGTATGCTTGAAATGTAGAAACAGAAGGCTACTACAAAAGGGGGCTTTGACTTTTTATGTAATTAATCTGTACAAAGGTAACGATTCCATTTGCTTTTTAGTAGTAATAGAGAGATTATCACTCAACTGTCGTTTAAAGATACATTATTATTAACTTTATTAGTCTGTCATCATTTCCAGCCATAAGGGGCCCCAAAAGGCCTATTTTGACTCCACATTTTGCATCTAAGACTATATGTTTTTAACGTATTTTTTCTTCATGATGGATAGATTTATGGGCCAAGAATCGTTTGGCTGTATTTAGGAGGTGTCTTTAATTGATGCTGAATTTTATGGTGGAACGACACAAGGACTACCGTCCACAGGCATGTGATAATGATACAGGGTCCCTTAGCTGGATCTCATAATTGTTACTAACTTGTCGGGCTTTGCTATTTGATCTCTAGCTAGCATACATCATACTTAAAAGTGGGATCGAACATGAGATAAAGGGAATTTAGCATTCTTTGACTGTGAACAAGACATATTATCCACCAAATTTTAATGAACCGCAAAAAAAGAGATGACCATTAAAGAAACTAAAGGGCACATATCCATCTTACAGCAATTAATGCAATATTTTGTACGTGTGTGGACACAAATTGGCTTGCCCTTATCTGCTTTGAGGATTCGCAGTAGCCTTCCACGGTCTGCCAGCCTCATAAGGTTAAGTACTGATCAATGAATTCAGCTTTGGGAATAAAGGAAGATTTTCTGAAAATAATTGCTTTGATATCTAGGCCCAGAAACAAGAACTGAGAGGGTTTGTACTACATTTTCCTTTTTCAAACTGAAATTGCACTTTGGTCACATGTAAGTAGATGCTCAGTTCCTTGTCATAAAAGGAATTGTGCTATAATATATGGTTATAGTTTGGCACCTCTTTTCAGCTTCGCCATGTCCAAATCATTTTAGAGAAGACAAACAAATTAATTTCCTAGGAATAGTAAGTTGATTTCTGCAAATTAAAGTCTAAGACTCTAAGTGAATCATTTTTTTATTCCTTTGCATATGTATATCATAGGTAAATGATGATGATGATGAAGATGATGATTATATATATATATATTCTCCCGCTATATGCTCTTTAAGTTCAAGTGTTCAAAGTAATATGCTAAATAGAGTACTTTATTTCGCAACAAAAATTCAAGCTGTCGGTTGAAACATTAGGTTATATCTTTTCTCACTTTGTAAAAGCAACTTTACCTGCAGCCACCTTGGGAGTTGGGAGAATTTCAAACCTGCTAGTATTTTATATATATTCATGGATTATCTTGTTTTTAATTAATTAATCATCAGCATATAAAATTAATTTGAAATAGTCAGCTCTGCTGATTGAAGAAACTATTTGATATACAAACAGATTTAATCTAACAATTGTGCACTTGGTTAATTTTTTTTTATTAAAATAAAAATTAACTGGTGATTTGGTTTTAATGACTTCATTTTTTTTTTTTAATGATTGTGTAATAGAGATTTAAGGGAGAAGGTTATCATCCTTGTGTAGCCCAAAAGCCCATTTGATGAATTAAAAAAAAAAAAATACTTGGTTATAAAACTAGTTTTTTATGCAACAAAATTAACCGGTGACTGAATACTGTGATTTAAAGAATTAGTGACTTGGTTTTCCACTTTCTTTTGTCCGTTTTGTTTCTTTTAATTTTTCCTTTTTGTTGACCATATATTACATCTTTAAGTATTTCAGGCCAATCTGTGTAAAGCTTGAGACTTAAGCTTGGCATCGTGCAAGCTGCGCGCATATGCCATCATTGGTGAAGGTTCTCCAATTCCCACCTTCCCTTTACCTTAGTGGCAAGCAAAAGACATATCCTTTACTTGAAATGAACACAAGGGTCAAGGTCTTGCAAGCAAGACTATCTAAGACTAATCAGCTCCACTAATCACGGTTTTATATCTAATTCAAATTAGGTTTTGTTTTAGCTGGTACATGGCTGTAGAGTACAAATTATAACTCAATCGGCACTTATATCTTTCAGTTTTCAATAGGAGATTTGGAGTTCAAATCTTTTCTCTCTTTAATAAAGAAAATAATCATATATGAATATTGAAAACAATCCCCTAGCAAATACATATGTGTGTGGGTGACATGCCTTCTATAAATCCAGCTTATATATAAAAATTTTAGAGTATGTTTTGTGTGTTGAACATGATGAAATAAATAAAATTTAACCGAACTAAACAGTTGATGAGATTGGACTGAACTATGACAAGAATGGATAGTTTTTTGCAAAAATCATGTTGGTCCCTGAAGTTTTTTTAAAAAATTATTAATTTCTATATTTTATTTTCATAACATTTTAGGTCTTATGAAACTTTTTTGGTCCACTAGCTTATTAGAATATGCAATTTAGTCCCTTAATTAGAAAAAAGAAAAAATCAACCAAGCCCATACATATAACAATCGTCTTATACTTGGTCAAAAATTTTAGTCACTCATCTTAAAAAATAAGTGAGTGATAAATAGATAATAAATAATATAAAATTTGAGAAATAATAATTTTGTTCATAGTATTGGACAAACTTATTTCACCTCATGGTGGAACAAAATTTTTGCATTTGAAATGATTTTAATTCTTATCCTATTCAAAGTGTGCACCAAATATAGATAATACAGTTTGTTGAGTTTTGTTTAATGTGTTTACGAACATTATACTCATTGTTTTGTTATGTTGAATCAATTATATCCAAAGTACCAAAACACATTTTTGAAAAATATCCCCATTGTATTAATACGAGTCTTCCTATGATGTCTTTGATTATTTATTTTTTATTTTTGTTACAAGTTTCTTTGGTTAAAAATCTTGTCTTCTCAAATCTACTTCGAGAAATCAGTGTACGTATAAATGACATCCTAATTAAGTTCATCAATTTATTGTATAACCGACCATTCTTGATGATCCAATTTTTTAATTGGATTAATTAGATTGTCAAAATGCTTTTTTCTTTTACTGAATGGGTTTGAAAGGAAGCTGTTGAATGTACAGACCTAATTTGAGCCGGATCCCTAAAAGAGGCTGTTTGGGTTGACCTCGTAATCCAAGAATGTACACATTGTTGTTGAGAACAGTAAAAAAAATAATTAATTAACATATTCGAGAAAGAAAAAAAGAAGAAGAAGAAAAGTAGTTAAAGTTAAGTCATTTCTCATTTGGATGTTTGCCTATGTGTGAAAAGCATGGTTAGGGGTATTGTAGAAAGTGGATTCCAACACCATGTCATGTGATTCGATCGAGCTAGAATATCTTTATCATCCCTACGTATATAAGGACCCCATGAAAAAAATAATGCATGGCCAAATCAAAACTCTATACTTTGTCTCTCTCCCTCCCTCTCTCTCTTCCTCTCTCTCTCTCTCGCTCCCTATCTTTCTCTCATGTATTCACTGTTGAGGGGATTGTCGTCTGGTACGATGTCATTCATGTGAAGCTCAAACTTTAACGTAGTATTGAATGATTTCGGACCAGGCTTCATTCCCCCCAACTATATATGTTTGATTAGCATTCACAGAATGGATAGAAATTTTTGATTAGCAAATCAACCATATTTTTCTTCATATCTTTAATCCCTCGGGTCCATTTTAATTTGTTTTATCATGTTTTCCTTAACTGGGTATATATATTAACAGGTGTAATTCAATCATCGTCGGTAATAGTCTTCAGTTTTGACTCAGATCATGGGAGACACTACAATTAATTAAGGTTGGTGTTTTATTCTTTGTATTCAAAATGATTGCCTCAATAATTGTTATTAGTACTGCACTACCTAGATTTGTGATTTGGATAGATTTGTTTGTCTGATGAAGAAAACACAGTACCAATCAGATGAGGTAGAAGTACTTGGTATGATTTCATTTCCGATCTCTTTTTTATCAGGTCCCGAACATATATGATTATGTCTTAGACAGAATTAAACAGTTGCGTTACACATGATCTTCCTTATCTTTTGGGTTAAAGTTGGTTTGTATTGTTTCGGTTGATGGAATAGATTGAACAAAGAAAATGTGAATATATTTCTGTATATGTCATATTCGGGAACCAGGAGAGTAAGAAAGGAGCCTCTCTTAGTTTCCAAGCTTTGGTTTTTGTAACTATTTTTGCGTCTTTTAGTTTCATATGGTCTTGAGGATATTGCCATTAACTTACCATTTGTACCAGATGGGTCAGATATATTAACTCTTGTGGGTCAACTTTAAATAAATAAAACGAGAACTACCACAACTGAGATCAGATTTACATGTGAAGCTCATTATTTTGGTGGTTCAGACTTCAGATTTGTTGGATATTGCTGTCACACACACACACATGTATCTATATGTATAGGAACCGTATTCTCCATGGTAGGTTGGACTTGATATTATTATGAGGATTGTCAGGAAAAATAATCAAATCATGTATTAAGTGTAATTAATTAACAATCAGTTAATTGCAAAGGTGAACAAACAGTTCTAATGTGCTGTTAATTAATAACATGATATGACGATGATATTCAACGAGTTCAGCTTGGTAACCAGGTCCTCCTCTTCCAAGGATCTCATGTTTGAGGCCCTCTTTTGTACAGCGTGTATGACCACAATATCAATGTTTCTTAGAGTAGAAATAAGACCCACTTTTGTTGGGATTCTCATGTTGAAAGTGAAAAAAAAAAATGAAAGATTTGTAACGAAGTGCTACTAATTGGTGCTATACGAAAGGGATGAAAGTCGAAGATAAAAAGGGGAAAAAAAGTTCAATTGGTTGATAACCTATAGAGAATCTGGTCTGCTTATGTGCGACGTACCAACATTGTGATGCAACTACTTTTCCATGCATCAATATTGAAGGGCTACTACTTGCCTAAAATCTAGGGTTAGGGTTACCAAAGAACTAAAATTTCTCTCTTTTCCTTTCCTTTTTTTATTGTTACTGTAACTTTTTTTCCCAACCAATGCAGTTGTTATATGCATATGCTGTAGCTTATCTTTCACAATTGCATGTGTAGCAGCTATAGCTAACTTTAGAAATGCTATTTCTTTTTGCCTTTACATATGCTTGTGTCTTTAATGTGTCACTGTATTTTTAAGATTAACTGTTGCATTAATTACCAGTTGACGGTAGCTTAGTATAGTATTGTATATATTCTTGAAAATAATTAGTGAGGTGAAAGTAGTGAGTTCAAAACCTACAATTTTATTAATCGATACTAACATCAAGAGAAGAAGAAGAAAAATCATTGGATTTATATTGATTTTTAATGTAACGGTATGAGGAATTCAATGTTCATATATCTGTTTATTTTGAAATCATATATGAATTGCTAATTAATATTTTGTATATAATTGCCCTTAAAATTATTAAATATGAGTGAAAATCTCCATCTTTCAATGTCTAAAAAGGGCAAGGGAAGAAAAAAGCCTGGCAATAAAGACTGGATCGAAAGAAAAGGCCTGCATATCCTGCAAGGCAGAGATGGAATAGAGTTGAGAAATCAGGGCAAAGCACCCCATTTTTAAAGAGAAACGAGTTCAAGTGGAGAGAAATTGAAGAAGCGAATGCACAGACAAGAAATATTGCATTCAAAGTCATTAAATACACAATACAATTTGGCTTTTGACTTTTCTTAAAGAAGATCAGTGGATTCATTTTTAATGCTGTTAGCATCCATTTTAGTATAAAAAGACCATAATAATCAACAAGTCATTGTACAGCCATAAAGGAGTTAGTTTTTAATTAAATTTTTTTATCAATACATAGAATTTGAATTTTAAAATTATATTTATTACAATAATTAAATTATTTATAAGGTAAGATATGAGTACATCAGAAAGAAAACATTAAAAAAAAAAATAGAATACATCAGTTTCGTGTGGATGACATTTAAACCCAGCTGATAAAAAAAGAAAAAAGAAAAAAAAATGGTATTTGTCTAGAATTTATGGTTTGATGGGCTTTCAAACGACATGGTTCAAAAAGCCACCACAATTATTTGGCAGCGTAAATTTAGATATGGAACTCACATGGGTTCCTCGAAACCGATGTTGATGCTAGGAGTCTCAAAAAGCTCCCAGCTCCATTTTGGAGTCTTTGGAGCTTTTATTTTTTCTGTATACACCCTGTAGAGATTATTTTATTCATATTTTTATAATAATTTTATTATATAATGTATTTAATTCATAATATATTTATTTTTTTATAATTTTACTAGTAATCCTTCAATCACATTTTTAATCAAATACTTCTATTTTTTTTTCAACCGCTACAAAATACTCCACCACTCCAAAATCTCCAAAATTCCAAAAGCCCATATTAATTGCTACTGCCATCATCTGAACCTATGTGCCAAACACAGTTTTAGCCTTAATACATAAAACAATCTAAAAATATTCCCAAGTAATATATTTATATTAAAAAAGGCCTTTGATAGTTTGACTTGATAATATGTACATGGGCAAAATCTTAATGTGAATTGGTTTAGGTAAAGGCGCAATGTCACATGACTTGCATCTTAAAGTGATAAACGAACTACCATGTATACAATTATATTACTCCTTTTTTTGACTTAGGTGCAATGATGCTTAAAAAAGCATTCAACAACTAACATAAAAATCCATTCAAAAGAGGGACTTTTCTTTATGAAAAAAACAAGACTTTATAGGGAATCACAATGACAATCTACGAGACCTATTAGCTAGAGAGCTAGATTCACCCATATAAATCATCTTCAATTGGTATAAAATCTACCATAAAACAAAATTATTATTTAATGATTAACAATCGTGCAACTCTAACCTCCCAAGCATTAAGGTGCATTTCCAATCCAAATAAATATATATAATATAATAAATATCATAAAAGAGAGTTGTCTTCACGTGTTATAGATCCTTCAATAATTTTGGCAAAAGTTCGGCAATCAAAGCAAGGAAGAAAAAAAAAAAAACAGAAGAAGAAACCTAAAGGGCCCATGGGATTGATTTTGTCACGTACGTATTGGACATGCAACTTAATTCATGTAGCAAGTAGAGACCAAAGTAAAGGTAATCAGAAACTTAACCAGAATTTGACCCAAAAAAAAAAAAAAAACTTGAAGTATTTTGAAATTACACAAACTATCTAGCTCAAAGTTTGAAAATTTAACAAAAACCCCCTTCATATTGAAAAAAGAAATATTACAAATACCTCCTTTTGAGCCCTATTATACCCAAAATAACCTTAATTACTATTTAGAAAAAAATAGTTAAATTAAAAAAATAGTAAAAAGTTAGAGAAAGAATATTAAAAAATAAATTCAAAACAAAATTGAATGAAATTAAATAGTAAAATTAATATTATTTATGTATTAAAAAAGTCCAGCCTCATTTGTTTATATTATCTAATTTTTTTAAAAAATTAATTTAACTATATTTTTTGAATAATAATTAAGGCATTTTGGATATAGTAGAGTTTAAAGAAAATTTCCCTAATATTTTCTTAAATGTGAAAGGAGTTTTTGTCAAATAGTCATTTTTTTTTTTTTTGGTTTCAGTAATTTCACAATATCTTCAAGGTTATTGTAATTTATAAAACAAAAAAAACAAAAACAAAAATTACACTTCTTTTCGGATCAGTACAATAGTGAAAAAATAAAAAATAAAAACTCGAAGAGTAAGGGGAAGAATCCAAATACATATTTCTCTCATTAACTTAACAAGAATTCTAATGATCTAATTCTAAAGCTTATGCAATGATTGATGGTTGTTTCATCCATGATTTGACATAACCATGACCGCTCTTCAATTTTTCTTCCTGTAATTTGAATTATGTAAATAATCCTTTAAAAAATGAAATAACTCATTACTTAAAAGCCACTTTAGCAGTCACAGGGTTGATTGAACTGCTAACGTCGACCTTCTTAGTTGATTATCCAAGCATAAACCTAGAAAAGAGTATACCAAAATTCAGCTACCACAAACCTAGATAGGAGCATACAAAATTCAGCTGGCACAACCAATAAGCGAAGGTAGTGGAAAATGACCGAGGACGTGGGTCCTGTATCCAGGCCTCTGATTATTACATGCTACTTTTGGGATATTATCAGGGCTGCTTTAATTCCAGAAATAACAAGAAAAGGTCTTGACTGAAAAAAAGAAAAAAAAAAGCGAGGAGCATTTTGTCTCTATATTTCTGTGTTTGTATTACAGAGGAACATTGACTTAAATACAAAAAGTTATACAACTATATTACACATAAAACAAGAAATTCTTACAGTTTAGGTATTGATTTAAGAGAAAACATGGGTGCTAAAGATGAAAATAATTGACTAGGCAAAACCTTAATTTAGTAACAAAACAGGAAAGGTATTTAATTTGTATCACTCCCCTTCGAGTTAGAGGTTGTAAAGCTATTAAGCACACTTTAACTTGGAAAGTGTCAGTGCAACAAATCACGTAGCATCGACTTGGTAAATATGTTGGCAAGTTGGAATTTTGTGGAAACGCAAGCCGTAGAAATAAAGCCATTTTGTAAATTTTCTCGTATCAAGTGACAATCAAGATCAATATATTTGATACGCTCATGGTATATCTGGATTAGTTACGATATGAAGAGCATCTTGGCTATCACAATGCAATAGAATTAGAAGTAGAACAGAAAAATCTTTTAATAAATTTGACAACCAAGTAAGTTCACAACATGTTGATGCCATGGAACGATATTCAACCTCGATAGAGTTGTGAGAGACCGTGGGTTGTTTCTTAGTCTTTCATGAAATGAGGACGCCGCCTAAAAAGATACAATAGCCGGAGATAAGCCGACGAGTCATTGGATAACATATATCGGGACAACCGATAGTCAAGTAGATAAGGCGACTAACTTAGCGGCAATAGTGATCGAAATCATTAATGAGAGGACTAACACTATTGTCTAATTTGAGATGTTGCTCCATCGAAATAGAGTCGAGTTTGCACCCAAGTAAACCAGCATCGGTAAGGATCTTAAGTGCATATTTTCGTTGATCGAGATGAATGCCGGATGCGGAATGGGCAATTTCTATACCAAGAAAATAATTTGTTGAGCCCAAATCTTTGATTTTGATAGCCAAATGCAAGTGACTTTTAACGACGATTGATTAAAGAGGGATTAATACCGTGACAATGACGTCATCAACATATACAAATAGATTAATAAAATTGAAACCATGGATGAGAGTAAATAATGAATAATCATAACAAGATTATGTGTAGCCAAGTGTTTGAAGTAAGGAGGAGAATTTTGTAAACCATTACCGCCTAGCCTACTTAAGGCCATACAAGGGCTTGTTGAGTTTGCATACTAGTGGCTCTCCTTTCATATAAAAACTCGATAGAGGGTGCATATAAATGTCTTCTTATAATTCCCTATGCGGAAATGCATTGTTCACATCAACTTGTGAAATAGGCCATCTCTTGGAAGCGGCGATGGCCAAAAAGTACGAAACAATGGTCATTTTAGCAACTAGAGTAAAAGTTTCTTGATAATCGAAGTCTTCTACCCGAGTATAACCTTTGACTACTAAACAAGCTTTGTATCTTTTTAGGGAGCCATCATATTTAAATTTGAGTTTATAGACCCACTTATATCCTACCGCAAGTTTACCTAGTGGCAAAAAAGTTAAGACTCAAGTATTGTTTTCTTC